CCGGCCCCGCGGACGCGCCCGCAGCGCCGCCCCCGGCCCCGCGCCCCCAGGTCCCGCTTAGGGGCCCTTTTCTGAAGGAGGAGAAGCCGCTCCAACAATCAGCCAGGCAACCAAAGTTCTTCTCYGGCCCGGGGCAGCGGAGGGGTGCACCTGAGTGTGGCTGCCCTTTGTGGCAGTAAAGTATTAAAGGACTTAAAGTATTTCTTGCTCTCCCACAACTTCCAAATTTCCCGCTTTCTGGTCCTTGCCGACTCTGGAGTTAAAAGCAGTGTCTTTGCCTACAGGTCGCACTCCGCCAAGTCTGCTTTAATGGTGGCCTGTGTGGTGGGGTGCACTGCTGGGGCACTGGGGTGACAAACTGCTAGACCCATATGACACAAATATACCTGTATGACACTATACGTCTATATGACCTAGTATGACAAAAATACACCTAGAACCAAGGGCTTTCCTTTATTTATGGTCTAACTTTGGGAAATACAGCTCATGGCATAGGTAAGATCAGCAGCCCCACTGCACCTTGTTTTCACTGTATTTTACAGAAGAGTAAAAGGGCTTAGGCAAGAATGATTTCTGACCTCAACCAGCTGCAGCACCATTTGTAGACACAGTATGTTCCATTTATTTATTTATAACACACCTTGACAGAGCACATACTAGTTCCTGTCTGGATCTCATTTTTGGCACATAATGGATGCAATACATCTGTACTTTCCTTTGAGGTGAAAAACTCATTTTCCATATGTTTTGCTAATGTTGAGGCATGTAGGTATCCTGTATAGTCAGAGCAGCTAAACTGTCGCTCTGTGGCAGCATCTGACATGAAACATGTCTAATTTAGACCAAGAAATTTTCCCTAAGAAGTGTCCATTTCTCCTCATTGCAAGAGGCACATTTGAGTAGAAGAATCAACTCTGCAGATGCCTGAGGTAGTGAAYCTCACCTGAAGTTATCCCATAGTGGAGGAAGAGCCTGGTTTTGGGGGCAACTTTCATCCTAAGCAAAGTCCCGGCTAGCCTTGGGGCCTGTTAGAGCAAAGCTAGAATACACATTTCTGCTCTTTTGTCTCTAACAAACCTCCCCAAGCYCTTCACCTTTAGCACACATGGCCAAATCCTGGCAGCAACCTCTGTTCATGTAGTATAACCATTAAAAGCAGGAAAGAGGCATCTGCATGTTATCTGCTGTAGGATTTCAGTCAGGGAAGGTGTCAAGTGCCAGAATGTACAGAGAAGGGAGACAAGAAAAGTCTTAATCCAGTTTAACCATTTTGACTCCTCCACAGTCAAAGAAGAGACCTGTGAACATGTACAAAGTGGGTTCAGTCCATCACAAGGAATGTGGGTAAAGGAGGATGAGCAGGAC